CTTTGAAGATGTAATTAAAAACCTATCTTTTAAAATGACCTTGTTCTGAGAGTGGGGCCCAACTCTGGGGACATGTCATTAAAAGGGACAGAAGGTAACACACAGGGAAGAGGTGGGAATGGTGGCAGAAACTGTGGAATGACATGTGCACAAGAAAATGGGTGCCAGAGATCAGCAGAGGCCACTGACAGCCAGAGGACACGCTCATTTGAGATATATGGTCAGATTCCTTCAATTTGATTTGTCAAATTATAAATAATAATATTGCATCCACACAGCATCCATCCCACAAGGGTTGTGTTACTCTTGATTGCCAAATGCAAATTGTTATTCTGATTATGGTGGTTTATGACGGCTGGTGAATCTTCATTGTCAACTTGACTGGATTTCAAAAAGGGGAGGAATCACATCTGAAGGTGTTTCCAGAGAGGTTTCAGTGAGGAAAACCAACCCTAAGTGTGAGTAGTATCATTCCACAGGTTGGGGACCAAGCTGAATCTAAAGAACTCACCACAGAGGAAGCAAGATGACTATAAGCATTTATCTCTCTCTGCTTCCTAATTATGGCTGCGGTGTGACCAGCTGCTCATGTCCCTGCTGTCACTAGCTGAGGCTTTGTTTAGCCTCTCCCACCATGACGGACTTCAGTCCCAAACTGTGAACTCAAACTAGCCCTTCCTCCATCAAGTTGCTTTTGTCACGTATTTTGTCATAGCACTGAGAAAAGCAACTATGACAGTGGTCACCCTACATTCCAGGAATGACATTGGTCAACTCTTCTTTGTGGAAAGCACATGGAAAACTATTTTCAAATAGAATGGAAAGAGACTTCTTCTGCATTTAATATATAAAATGTGGTGTTATATTTGCTATATAATAGAAATAAAATCAAGACAAAACTTTCAGGAGGAGAATAATGTATATGCTTATTCAATAGGCACAAATAAACCTCCTATCCTGATATTTTGATTTTATTAGTTTTTGTGTGTGTGTGTGTGTGTGTGTGTGTGTGTGTGTGGTGTTAGGAATTAAACCCAGGACCTCACGGGAGCTAGGCAAGAGATCTACCATGGAGCTACACCTCCAGCCCTTGACACCTTATTTAGTTGAATTCCACATGCCCTTGGGTCTCTATGTTTCCAAATACAACATACTTAGGAGAAAATTTATCCCTATCTTCTTTTTTAATGTCTATCCCGCTGGTGCAACTCCGGATAAATACAGTTTTTCTTTATTTCCAGCCCCGATTGATTCTTCTGTCAGAGCACTGTAGATTGGCTACAACAGCCTGCTTCTTGGCTTGATAGATAAAGTTGACAGCATGGGTCTGTGATTTCTCTGTTAACGAGTGACCTGTGTTAGAGTGGCAAAAAGATCTGGGTGTGGGATGGGGCTTAGGGACACAGTTGGTGACAGCACGACATTCTGCAGCCACCAGTTCTGGAGTCTGTGCTAGGGAAAGGAATGTTTTCCAGGAGCTGGGGATGGGAGGTGGGTGCTGATGCAGGCACTGCTGTGTCTGGGTGACTTTGCTATATGAGGATTACCTGTATTTTTGTTGGAGTGTGTGGGAATAGACAGTTAATGGGCAGCTCAGGAACAATGAAGTGTATGGTGGCAGAGTGACATGGGGGCACCTGGGGCAGCTAGTCTTCTTCGGGTATCCTGTACAGCTGTTTCCTCTGGGTTGCCTGTGATGATGACTGCCATCATTACTCCCTCATGGAGAAAGGAAAAGACTCATGGGACTCACAAGGCCTGAATGTATACAACAGAAGCCAGGTGCCCCATGTGCTTGTAATCATAGCACTGAAGAGGCTATGGCAAGAGGATCACAAATTGAAGCATGCCTTGGCTACATAGCAAGTTCTAGGCCAGCCTGGGTTGTGTGAGATCTTGTCAAAAAATCAAATAGTAGTCGGGTGGTGCTGTCACACCCCTTTAACCTCACCACAGGGAAACACAGGAGAATGGAGCTCAGAGTGGATGAGCTGTCCACTGTCCCACAGCTAGCTTGCTGCCTGATTACTGTGCTTTAGCCGTTGGTCTCCGTCTATATGCCCCAATGACCTATTCACCGCCACCCCGCATACTACTTTTCTGGTTGCTGTGATCAGATACCCCACAAGAAGAACCCTCCAACAGGAAGTGTATATTCTGGCTCATGGTTTAGGGTACAATCTCATGGTAAGTGGTGGGAGTGGCTTAGATCTGGGTGGATCAGAGAGCAGAAGGGGAGGTCAGCTGGAAGCCAGGAGGGGTTATAAAATCAAGCCTCTTCCTGCTCAGTGACTCACTTCTTACAGCTGGGCTGCACCTCCAATGGGCCTGTGACCTTCCAAATCAGCACCAACAGCTGGGGACCAAATGTGCCAACATATAAGTCTTTGAGAGAGATGTGTCATAACCAAACCAAGGCACTTTGAGAAGACAACATGGACACTCAGTTTGTTACTGAGCTCGGCCCACTTGTATCTCTCCTATGGTCCTAATTTTTATGAACCCTGGCCCCTGTACCCTCAAACTCCTTCTCTTGTATCAGACCTCATCACCACGTTCTTTCTGCTGTCTCCTATGATGTCATCTTCCTTTACTGCCTCCCTCTTCCTTTTCCAGCCATCCTGGCCACATTGCTGCTCTACCCCAGAGTGTGTGCTTGATATTCCCCAATTCCCACCAATGCCTGTGCCCCACCTTCATCTCACATCTTGGGCAACTTCTCCTTCTTTGCCCAGCTTCATCCTTCTCTGTGATCACCTGTGTCATCCTCTCTCTGTCCCTTGTTCCCTCCTAGGTGGTGCTCTCTGAGGAACACAGTTTATTTACTGCTATATCCCTAAGACATAGACTAGCACTGAGGACAGAGTAGCATCCCTTGAATAAGTGAATAGCCAGAGAGAACTGAACGCAAAAAAGACTCTGTCTTCCTTTCTCAGACCAACAAATGCACTGAAGCTCAACGGTCTTCCATCAATGCCATGTCAAAGAAGTGTAAAACAACGCACATATGCAGCGTGTGTGCACCCACATGCCCAAGTGCACTCTCTGACTGATGTGTGCGTGTTTGTGCGTGTGCCTGTGTGTGCGTGTGCGGGTGCGTGTGCGTGTGCGTGTGCGTGTGCGTGTGCGTGTGTGTGTGTGTGTATGTGTGTGTGCATGCTCTAGATACAATAACTCCAGAAACAGACAGGATTAAATGACAATAACATGAGTGTCGTGAACACTGTGGCTTGTTAGAAGAACATCCTGACCACATGTTCACATGCCGCTATTCTTGCCTGAGCAGGTCTGAGCAGGGGTAAAGGAGAGGAACAGCTGTGGACACAGCCCTAGAGTCCAGTGCCAAACACTCAGAAGAAATGAGATGTGCTAAACATTGGGGAGGCTGTGAAGAAAGGAGCCCACATTCTCTGTGGATCACCATGACAATTGAGGCAGCTCTTTGAAAAAAAAAAAGAAGGGTCAGGCATATGACTTGTCCCAGGGAGTTTGTGCCCTTCATGCCACATGCCACGCCCTCTTTAGCCCTCACATGACAACCAGTTGGTGCTGAGAACAGTGTTGCCTACAACTGAAAAAAGGCAGAAACCACTGAAGCTCACACATGTATGTGCACAAATGGGAAAAATGAGACATGCATGTAAAACAGGACTCTATGTAGCAGGCAAAGGAACAGAAAAACCCTACCTGAGCCAAATAGGACACTGCATGGAATGACAGGAGACTACAGAATCATAGTGGGTGCTCTCTCTCTCTCTCTCTCTCTTTCTCTCTCTCTCTCTCTCTCCACATTAAGGCTGTTGTGTTTATTGCCTCTGTGTGTTTATTATACCACTTGTGGTGTGTGTGTGTGTGTGTGTGTGTGTGTGTGTTGATTGCATGTATGTGTGTGTGTGTGTGTGTGTGTGTGTGTGTGTGTGTGTGTGTTGATTGCATGTGTATTGTATGCATCATGTCATTTGTGTGTGTGAAGCCTTGTTGGATTGTTCTGTGTCTGTATGCTGGGGTGTGTTGGTGTCTCATTCTCTCCAAACTTTCACAGAACTTACAGAGGTGGCAGCTACTGCAGACATAGAAATCAGTCCCACCCTGTCACTTTAAGATGGTACATTTTCTAGGTCCTTTTCTCTCCTCCCGCCCCTGGAGCCCCACTCTAGTGCCCCAGACATAGCCACTTAGGACTTTGAGGATAAAAGCTGATAGTTCACAACTCAATACACATATGTAGTAAAAAAAAAAGCAAGTGTGAAAATTTATCAGACAAGTAGCTTCTCCAGGAGCACCTAAGAGTCCTTTGGTGTCGACTTGCTGGGACTTGGAAGGACAGGGCTGAGAGTAGGTAATCAATCCCAGGGTGACAAAATGTCAGAATTTCCTACTCTTAGTCATAGCTCATCAGTGAAACCCTGCCCAGGTGGGCCTGAAGTCAACTTAACTTGGTCATTGTTAAATTATTTCTATTCTATTCTTTCCCAGGGAGAAGCGGGGCTTAAATCTGTTTTGATTAAGCCAGCAGCTATGGTGCTAATAAACAATTTCCCATCTTTTAGAACTTGGAAGTTTTAAGCATCAGGGCCATGAACACAAAAGATCATTCATGAAATGCCTGTGTTCTTTCATTTTCTGGCAGTCTTGGAGACTGGATCTGTGGTTTTATGTAGCTAGGCATTTTACCACTGAGCCATAGCTCCAGCCCCAGGCCATGCTTGAGTGCCTAAACCCAGCTAGTTCTGTGGTTCTCAGGCCCCCATCCCCTACACCCTAGTCTGAGAACAGAGTTTAAAGGCAAGGGGTGCAGTGGGGGATGAAGGAGAAACTCAGATCCCAGGTCAGCTGTGCTGTTGCAAGTAACTGCACAGGCCTCCTCCTTCTCTCCCAGCTTGAGGAGCACCTGTGCTGTGAGGCTACTGTGTCTGCTCTCAGTGCCTTTGAGTGAGTGCAGAGAGATGGGGTGGTCTAGGGTTGGTTAAATCAGAACTTCCATGGTCATGTCCATTTACCTGAGACCAGAGCAAGTGCTGACACTGACCACTGAAGCAGCATCTCCTTGCACATGTCCGTGGTAGTAACAGTGATCCTGAAAGGGAGAGAGGGGAAATCAGTCAACACATCTTCCTCCCACTTAGAATAATCCAGATTCCTCTAGTCTCCTCTCTTTGCTTTAGCTATAGGACATGTTATACCATAGTATACAGGTAGTCTTAGTGTTTACTGCTAAGCCCAATGTGACTTGCCAGGGTCTATGGTTAGAGTGTCAGACCTGCTTAGAGATTATCAGTAGGGTTTTGACATGCCTGATTGGCCTCCACTCTCACCTGTCACCCCCCAGGAAAGCCCTGATGCCCACGGTTATACAAGATGCAGCAGCAGAACAAATGGCACTGACATCCTTGGTTTACCCTCGTGTAAATTGTCTCTGGTAATGAGATGAGGGAATGGATAGGGTATTTAAGCACACTGTGAAATGCAATAAACCCAGGCCTGAATCAATGGCTTAGGGAAACAGCCGAGCAGATGGGAGCAGAATAAAGAGAATTCTCAGAATCACCCATAATTAGCTCAGTAGGAAGGTCACTGAGGGAGGTCTCAGAAGAAAAAAAAATCCCCAAAGTGACCCCAGCACAGAGGCCTCCTAGGAAGACAGAGCTCTGTCCAGATTCAAGGTAATCATGCTGTCGAAAAGAAGGCTGGGTCAGAGCTCTAATTCAGCAGCTGATTGGCCAGGAATGGCTGCTCACACTGAGCACTCCTCTTCCAGGTATCCATAATGCCAGCAGCTGGCTCTTTGCAGGAAAGCAACCATCTCTTCTAAGTGACAGTCAGGTTTCAGCCTGCCTCTAGCATACCCATGTCAGCTCATAGGTACCTGGTGGTGACAGTCATTCACAAAGACTATCTCTGCTTTGCTCTGGAAAAGGACCAGGGTTGGAAAGATGGCTCAGTGGCTAAGAGCATTTGCCAAGGACTGTAGGGGAAGCTGTAGCCACGCCTTCTTAGGGGCTGGCTACAGGAGTATCTAAGGGCTTGTGAGGGCGTGGTCAGAGTGAGTAGGGGGACTGCGTTTTCGGTTTCGGTTTCTCTTTGCTTCTTGCTGTACAGACTACCACCGGCTGGCTGGTTCGCTCTGTAAGTAAGGCTTTTCCCTATTAAATACCCTTATATTTCTACCTGACTCCGTATTGGTAATTACCTACTATAAAGGACCCAGGTTTGGTTCCCAGCACTGGCTTGGTGCCTCACAACTATCTGCGATTCAGTTCTTGGGATCTAATCTGATACCCTTTTCCCATCTCTCCATGGGTTCCTGAATGCATATGGTACACACAAACTCTCTCTCTCTCTCTCTCTCTCTCTCTCTCTCTCTCTCACACACACACACACACACACACACAATAAAAAATTAAAAGACAAACAAAAAAGACCAGATGAGTTTGAGTGACAAAGGGAAAGCCATGACAGCATGATAAATTGACTAAGACCATCTCAACCATGTAAAATAATGATAAAATTCTTGGGTCATCTGAAAGGCAAAGGATGGAAGGAGATGGGAAAGTTGCAGGGAGACAGGTGATTCTGTTTCAACCTTTCTTACTGATTTTAGAGTCTGTCTCTATATGTATATATATTCAGGATATTAATATTTTAGCCCCATGATTGTGTAAGAAAAGTCTTTTAACCTGAACATCATTGCCCAGCGTTTCTGACTTTATAAATCCAAGTGTCTTCCATGCACCCCACTCCCACAGTTTTCTGACATCTTTGGGGTTCTGGGTATATGCCTTGCATTTTCTCCTGTTTACATGGTCTTGAGATTGGCTCTTTACTCTACCAGGATTTATTTCCGTCCTGGAAATATAGGGTGTGTACAACTTCCCCTACACCAAGGTGTTGTCCAACACAGTTCATTGGGTTCCACACTCTGTCATGTGCTGTGCCCTTGACTTGTTTCTGTGACCTGATAGAAACAACTTTAAGGAGTCAGGATCTCTTTTGGCTCATAGTCCATCATGGCAAAGAAGGCATGGTGGAGTTCTTGGCAGTGGGATGCTGCTTGCCTCCCACCTGTGACAGCAAGCAAGCTCCCACTGCCTCCCATGTGTGACAGCAAGCAAGCCAAGAGGGGCCCAGCCCCAAAGACCCACATCTTCCATCAAGGCCTCATGTCTAAAGGTTATGCAACCTCCCCAGACAGTCCCATCAGTTGGGGACTGAGTGTTCAAGCACATGAGCCATCCGAACCAGAGCATATGGGAATACTCAGTGTATGTCCATGGCTCTTCTCGGTTTTACAGTCCACCGAGGAATGCTCAACTGTCCACTCCTAAGCCAACACCACTCTTTTAATCACAATTGTTTTGCATGGCAATTGGATATCCCACAGAGCTAATTCTCTCTTAAAATGAAGACTTAATCCCCATACCACACATCTCCCTATTTTAAAGCACACCATGTCAGCATTTTTATGGTGTTCTGTTTAGAGTACAGGGAGTACCTGAAGTCCTCCATCACTGAAATCCACAAGGATGCACAATGATGACCACTATCTAATTCCAGAGCATTTTAATGACCGCACAGAGACACCTGGAGTCCAGCAGTCCCTCCTCAGTACCACTGGCAACCACAAGTCTCCTCTCTGTCTCCATGGATTTGCTTGCTCTGTTCATTTCATGCAAATAGAAGCCTGCAATACATGGCCTCATGCCTGGCTTCTTTCATCCAGCATAATGTTTTCCAGGTCCCATCATGAACTCTGCTTTTTCTTGCCTAAGAGTATTTCACTGCACACACTGCAGTATAGACAGCTGGTGTCCAGAGGCCAGGACTGGAGAAGGAATTACCTGCAGATGGAAACCTGCACAGGCAGCGGGTAATGGAGGGAGCACACAGTTCAGGGAGGAGGGTAGGAGATTCAGACACAGGCATGTGGAGTGCCTGGTGATCTGTCTCTCCTCCATGAGACTGTCCTCTTCAATAGGCAGTGGCTTAGTCCAAGACACTTGGGGGGGGGGTACTGAAAGGGACTGGGGCTGCCCAGCCAGCCACATTGGATATCTAGTAGAATATCAAGGAGAGGAGACATAGCCTTGAGTGTATCTCCTTGCCATCTGTGTAGATTTTGAATGGCTCTGATATCCTCTCTCTCTCTCTCTCTCTCTCTCTCTCTCTCTCTCTCTCTCTCTCCCCCTCTCCCTCTCTCTCTCAGGAGTCATGTAAAAGTTTGCTCACCACAGGGATGCATGTAACTGGATTGAAATATCTCAGGGCATCAGAGGATCTTGGTCCCCTCTCAGGCTGTGGTATACAGGGTGGGGTGGGGTATTCCATGACTTGAAGGCATGTTAAAGTGGAAGGTGATTCTCGATAGGAAAGGACAGTGGCTGTTGTTGGAGTCTAGGATGCCCGGGTAACCAGGAACACTGACCTTTGAGATCCATCGTAGAGTTTCCCTTATTTGGGGAGAGGAGATGGAAAGCAAAGTGGTGGCAATAATTACCGACTCCTGAAATTTGGGACTCATTTGTTCTCAGGCTTTGTTGTTAATGGATTATTTATCAAGTGTACTTTCTAATTAAATATACCGGAATACAAGCTCATTAAGCCATGAGCTGAGAACAAATTAGTATCAAATTAATTTCCAGTTCAATAACTTGAAATATCACTTTTATGAAGCAGGGGAAGTGGAGTTTGGTGTTCATAAACCATTCCTTGAAGTCAACAACCCTCCTCGTCTTAGTTGTCATGAGAGTTCACAACTTATTTCTCAATTTACCTGAGTTAGACAGCTCCCAAGCCCCTTGCTCACTCCTGACATGGGTTAATCTCTTCGACTGCAAGGCAATGTTACCAGATTCTTCCAGACAACTCCAATTTCCTGAATCTTAGTTTTTCAGCATGACTCACCACATGCAAATGAACATGATTTCATTTTGATGGTGCTGTGACTCACTGTCTGGATAATTTCATGACTCGGAAAGACATAGCTGGCCCCTTCACGTACCACATTATTGGTTGGGAAATTGGATTATGGAAGCAGCAGAGATTATTTTCTGACCATTGGGAAGTTGACTCCTAAGACAGGGTCAGAGGCAAAGGGGTCTTTACAGGTAGTGCCATGATCAGAGACCAGCAAAACCCACTGTGGTCCACCGGCCAGTGTGTGTCTGTGTCTGAGGTCCGGTGGTCCTTATGTAACGATGCTCAGATGCAGGAACCAATCAGATCTTCTGGGTTCATGGACACTTGGCCCAGAGGTTCTAGATGTGCCACACAGCAGGGAACATGAAAGCAGCCAGTGTTCAGAGGAGATCTGTGGCCCAGGAAACACTGGATCTGCATTACCACAGTGGCCTTTGCTGGGTATCTGTGAATACTGATCTCCATACAGCTTTTCTCATACCTCAGCCCTGTCTTCTCTCTGATTTTCCCCAAAGCATTGAACTGCATAGCCTCCCAACTCTAAAGATGTTTCTGAATGAGACCATGCACTCCTAGGACCATTGTCTTTGCTTTGTTCTGCTGATCCAATGCATTCTATTTTTCCCAACGAAACCCTGTGTGGAAGAGAGTCCTGAACATGCACAACCACAAAATTACATCTCTCCCTTCACAAAAGCTCTAACTGGGCATTTTATATACTTATTATTTAACCGAATGCATTTCCCCACTCCAGTAAAATACCATTTTCCTTCTGTTTAATACTATCAATCAAACCTAATGGTGGGTAACAGGAAGCTGGAGTAACAACTCTTGAACCTGAAAATTGGTAGCCCTCAACTCCATGCCCTGCAGGAAGTCAAATCAAACCCCTGCTACCCCTCTCTCTGAGGACTAGAAAGAAGGGGGTTTTATATGCTGAAGTGGTTACAAAAGTGGTCCAACCTTGCAATTTAAAAGGACGTCTAGCAGACAGAGTCTGTGAGGGCATGCTGAGGGAATGGTGTTTTCAACATGCTACCAAGGCCTGAGCCACCCCTGGCATAGGCAACACGGTGAACCTCTTTGACTCAATGCTTGAAGGCAGGGTGTTTTTAGCTGGAAGGATGCTTGGGGCCGTCTAAGGCCAATCTTACTTTTCTA